GGTGTGAAAGTGAGAACATGTACACAGAGGAAGATTCCCTTCATCAAAGGGGGGAAATCTGAAAGGTGATGGACCAATTCCTTCCTTTTCATACCTTCTTCTCAAAACCTAAGTAATTGTCCTACAGTGTTTTCCTTAAGGTGTAAATTTGTCATCTGATTGGATTCCCTGAATGGAAATTCTCTCCACCATTACCTAGATCCAACTCATTTGCAGTCTATAGCCTCAGAGACCTTCCTGAGGACACCAAGGGGTGAAGCGCCATTTCGCTCTGGATTTGTCTTATTATTAGTGATTTAGATCATTCATTTAGACCAGTAGGACAGCCCTGGTTACCCAGCTTTAATGTGTTAGATCCAGGTTTGCTGGGCTCCAAGGCTGGTCCTCCTGGTATGTGCCATACCATATTCTTCTTCTCCAAAGAAAACATTTCAATTTCTTTGAAGAAAGTGAATCTTCTAGGGGAAATTCCATTGGTGTCTGTCTTACGGCACCTATACTAGCACCAACACAACAGTTTCTTCGTGAATTGGTTTCATAGTCTGTGAAATGCTGGCAGGGCTTGGGGAATGTTGAGGCCACTCCCCTCACTTTGCTGTCTTGTTAAAAGCCTCAGCTTCCTTCTTGAATATTTAACCCAAAGGGCAGGCAAAAACAACAAAGAAAACAGAAGTCCCTTTGCCTGACTGATAATAACATCCCAATGAGCCAAAAGGGAAATGTTAACCTGAAAACCAATTTCACTTCACACTCATGTGCCTTCCTCTCAACTCTGAGACTTGGAAGACCATATCAATAGAAAGTCTCCAAATATTTCAAAATACTTTTTGTGACGGCCAAGAAATACAAACAAATAGGTGCCCAACAACTGAGGAGTAGCCAAACAAATGGTGGTACACGAGTATAATGGGCTATTACTATGCTAGTCAGTCAATCAACATTTATTAAATGTCTTATGTGACAAGCACATAGGAGAAATTATTAATGTGATGGATTACAAAGAAGCATGAAAAGATTTCTAGGAACTGATACAGACTAGTCAGGAGAATCAAGAAAACAATGTATGTAGTAACTACCACTAAGTTACCAAAAAGAAAAATGACCTACCGAAATGTTAAAAGTGGCTGTAACACAATTACAAAAATCAAGCAGGATTCAAATGAAGAGAGGAGAAGATAGCCTTAAGTCACACCTTTTGGGAAGGCGGGAGGTCTGCAGAGGTTACCCATTGCATATGGTTCCCAACTTTTTCAACATGTTAATCTGTTGAGCTGACTTTTTTTCCCTTTTTATGAAATAATTAACTGTCATATAGGATGCCTCTCTGGAAGGGGTAGATAGCAGGCTACTAGGAATCACTATGATGTAAGAAAAAAAGACATTAATAGAAACTTATTTTACAAGAGGATTTGAGGGAGTCACTCATCTCAGTTTCCTCATCTGCCAAAATGAACAAGTAGTAGCAACATAATTTCTTTCTGTCATAGTCTCTTAACCCCAATTACCAAAAAAAAATACATATTATATATATATATATATATATATATATATATATATATATATATATATATATATACATGGTCTGTGTTTTTATCACAGGCCACTTAATAAAATTTACTCAAGGGGTCAAAAAGGAGTGTGAGGTTCATTGTCATAAAACCTGAGGATTTCTCCTTGTTCTGCCATATAAGTATCAATAAGTCCTTGAATCTCCCTATTGGAAGAAATTTCAGAGATCATTGAACCCACATGAGTTCTGAAGTTTGGATATCCTCCACCACATTCCTGAATAGTGTCCCTGAAGTCTCCACCAGAAGCCCTCTATCAATGAAGGACCAACCAAGGCATCCCATTTTCTTTGGGATGGCAGAAGTAGTCACAATGTCCTACCTTAGTTACACAATAATTGGCTTTCTTCCTTCATAGATTCCATCCCCTGTGGCAATTCCTGCCCTTGACATTGGAGGAGATGAGGACAAATTCCTCTTTGATGCAACAAGGCTTCAAGCATTTTAAAGTAGGGATGCCCTTCCATCTTCTACCTTCTCTTTTTCATGATAAATATACCTGGAGGCTTCAAACAATTTTTGCATGGCCTTGTTTGGGGTCTTTCACCCTCCTGGTTCCTCACCTCTGGACACACTTCAGCTTATATGAGGAGAGTTTCTAATGTTTCTCCTAAACTTGGTGACCATTTGCAGCCTGACCACAGCAGAGAACAGCACAAATATCACTGCCTAGTCCTGGACACTAGGGCTTTCATTCTGTGGCCTCAAACACATCCACTTGCTGGCCATCATGTTGCGCTACTGCCTGCTACTGAGCTGGCACATCTCAGAGGTCTAGAGGGAGGCTGTGAAGCCCAGAAGTTCACTAGTACCAACAAGCCCAGAGGGGTGGGTAGACAAGAGACATGAAACAATTGTAGGGAGAGCCTTCAAGGCCTCTGGGAAGGGGGTTAGAGGGTTGTAGGCACAAGGCAACTGAGTAAGCACTTTGGAGAAAATATAACAAGGTATGGGCAAATAATTGGGTCTTAAGGAATTTCCCCCAGAAACAGGAATTTGTATCTGGTGGTAGTGGTGGTGGTGGTGGTGGCAGCAGGGTGAGCAGCATTCTGTCCAAGTCCTCTGACAAGCAATATGGTGTAATAGAGCCCTGCCATTGGACTCAGGAGGGTCTGGGTTCAGATCCTGCCTCCAACCCTTCCTAGCTCTGTGACCATGGGCACAAGTTCCTCATCTCAAAAATGGGAGAGTTAAAATCAATGACCTTGAAGGTCCCTGTCTGACAGCTATGATGCTCACTCAGCCCCATAAGTACAGTTGACAAAAACCTTTAGACTCCACCACCCCATCCAGCTCCTAAGCTGTGGTCTAGCCATATGGTTCCTCTCCTCTACTGATCCAGTAGGACCATCCATTTATCCCTATGACCTTTCTTCTCCACTCAAGACCAATGCCAGGAATACATCATGGACTCAGAGGTCCCTAGGTTCTTGAAGGTTTGGCCCATGCTCTTACAGGTGTCACCCAACTAGAAAGCCTTGGAGTCTAAGACTGGTAGCAGTGGGTATGACCATGAGGACTAGCTAGGCTGGACTTGGAGAGCCTTCCCACTCTGGGATGTACCCACAAGATGAGGGACTTCTGGCCTCAGCAGCTGGTGAAGACGTGTTCCTAAGGCACAGGAGAGTAGAGCCAATGCTTGTACCAACACCACTACAGATATTTCAAGGACCTGATCTTCCTCCTCCCAGGCACTAGTGAAAGGGCCCCACCTCAAATGAATCATGCCTAGTTTATTCCAACTAGAGAAGGCAGGGATGATAATCTTTTCTCATTTATCTTTCTGAATAAAAGGACAAAATTATTCAATGAATTTTACACTAAGAAAAGAAGGGTCCTAATCCTTACTTATTCATGTTACATATAGCATATTAAATGCTGTTTGTGAATAAGTCCTTATTTAGAAAAAATGATTTTTGCTCAATTTGGCAGTCTCTCACCATCAATTCCATCTTTGGGATTTGAGACAAGCACATTCCAGTAAGACATGATTTCTTTAATAGTTTCGAAGACAATAGGTCCTAGGGTGATAGATGATGAGCCAGAAAAAACTCCAGAGATCAGTTAGTTCAGTTCTGTTATTTTGTAGATGAGGAAGCTCATGCCCATAGAGACCTAGTGATCTGGCCAAAGTCTCAAGGCCAGAGCTGAGATTTGAATTCACCTCATTGAGGTCCAAACCCAGCTCTCTCACCACTGCCTATACCACCTGCTTCTAGCATAAGACAAACAAAATTTCTTCTCCTTTAAACATTTACACTTATTTTGTTAAAACATGGGCTTCTTTTAACATAAAAATCCATTTTATCAGAAAGTGAAAAAAATAAAAATAAAGATGTTCTCAGGAAAAGGAAAGCTTTTTCAACCTCAGGCTGTGGGATGTTTCTTCTCCTGTTGCCTGGACAGGTCATTGCCTCCAGGGACATTCCATCATGCTCCCTCCCATCCCTTACCCACCCCCATAGGCACTCGTGCATCCCTACTCCCAGCTCTCTTCCCCCACCCGACCTCCCAGCCTCCTTCTTGGTATTATTCCAGGTCTCCTCCTTTTCCTTCCTACCCACCCACTCAGTTCACCCACCCACTAAAATGCTAAGTTCCGTTCCACAGTATTGTTTCAAGGCGAACACTTCCCTCTCATCCTGATTTCATCCCAGAAGCCCATCTTCTGCCACCAACATCAGCCTTTTCCAGCTGTGACCTCATTTTCCCCTCCCTGCCAGAGCTGCAGTCCCTTCTGGACTCTAGACAGTCCCTACAGGGCTTCAGGGATAGTGCCCCTTCTCTGCATTTCCTTGGCTCCACAAAACCCCTCTGAAGGGAGGCCTCCTTGAACCCTCTCCCTCTCAAGGGCGCAAACCACAATCCAGTCTGGCAAGAGTTCAATAGAAAAGGTGAGGTTGGCCTTTTCTCCCAAAGCCTGGTAACCCTGGAATGCCTCAGTCTGCTGAGTTCATAGCTGATTACATTTTCCCTGGGAATGGGAAAGGGATGCCCAGAGGTTGAATGAGGCTTACACATTCCTGGCATTGCCCCACATTACCTAGGCAGCAGGCTGTTCCAACTCCCTTCTAAATTCACAGTCAATTAGGTTGATGGGGAAGGCCACACTGTTTACAAATGTCTTTCCACTTATCTTGGCATGACATCACCAGAAGCAATGAAACACGGATGGAAGACAGTGGGTGGAAGACTCAGACAATTTCCAATATTCTCCAGCCTTCGGTGCTGAATGTGGGAAAGGGGGGGGGGAGGAGATGGGGGAGGGGCTTAAGAAATCTACTCTGATTCCCTTCTTTGTCTTCTTCCTCATCTTCAGAATGACAAGATTTTTTCTACTCACATTTCAAAGGCATCCCTGTAATCAATCTCAATGCACTTCACAACCATCATACACACAAATCATCAGTGAGATGTCTCCTTGTAACTTACCATGGGCCATGCGGTGGAACCAATAGTAACCTAGGTCAACTCCCAGGAAGGTCAAATGCCACGTCCATGGAGAATCCCAAGGCAGATTGAAGAGTCTATACTTCTCCCAGACATAAATGTAAGTGGAAAACTCAATACTCCTGAAAAAGAGCCTGTAAAGGAAACAAAGGCAGGCCTCAGGTTCGTGCGCTAGGAGCAAAATCATATTTAGTAAACTCAGTAAGTCTTTATTAAGCAATTACTTTGTCTAAAACATTGTGCAAAGTACTTTGGGACACTGAGGCAGAAAAGAATCCAGTTCTTGCCCTCACAGGTCTTGTATTCATTAGACCATCATACCAGGGCTGAAAGGTGCTCATAATGCCTTTAAAACAAACCCTTTCATGTTGCAAATGAGGAAACTGAGGGGTAGTCAACTCAATTCAACAAACATTCATTAAGTGCCTACTATGTGTCATGCATTGTGCTAAGTGCTGAGGATACAAAAAGAGACAAAAGCCAGTCCCTGCCCTTCCAATCTGATGCCTTGTCCCAGGTTGTACAGGTGGCTTTCTACTGGGAAGCAGTTAAAAGTGAGGGACGCAGAAGAATACAACATTCATGCAGGCAGATTAGTAGATAGAAGATCATTTTACAAAAGAGAGAGCATATCAGGGCATTTCTTCACAAAAGCCACGGCAACTGGGCTGATCCTTGGAGGAAAATAAGGATTCTGTGTCAGACAGCATAAATCCCCAAAGACAAAAAGGAAATACTCTATCCCACAAATAGCTGACATTCTACTTGGGTCAGGGAGAGAGAAGGATTATGGCATGGATGCAAGCACATAGGTGGGATATAACCCATATCCAAACAATCTCCAAGATGCATCTCCAAGATGCCAGGCATGTCTGTTTGCATGACAGCCAACACGATTACAGCTGCCAGGCTTCCATTTTCAGCAACTGAAGGAGAAGGATCTTCTTTCTGTTTTCTCTCTCTATGTATCAGGTGAGATCCCACAAAGATCCTGGCACATTCCGAGGAGTCCTCAAAGTGAAATTATGCCCCAGCTGTATCTCCTCCTGTGTTGTGGTGATGACCCAAGCTGGCTCAAGAACACAAGGAGAGCTTTTGGAATGGAGGATGGTGGATCCATTGATAGCAATTTTTCTCATGTTTCCAATACATTACTTGTTTTCTTATATCATTTATGTTAACTGAAGATGACTTCTCCTCCTCTCACTCACACATGCACACACACAGTGAGGCAGAGATGCTATTAGCAGTGTGTGTGTATGTGTGTGCGCGCTCATGTACGTGTGTGTATCCTCACGACAAGTTGGTTGCATGGAAGTCCATTAATTAACCAACAAGCATCTGTTGAGCTCTTCCTTGTTGGCAGGCACACTGGACACAAAGGAAGGTCAAAACTAAAACTAAAACTAAAACATCCTGTGTCCTGCCCGCAAGGACCTTGGTGTGAAATTGACACTAGGATCAACTTCTGAAGACAAATGCATTGGGATGTGTGGACCCGTGCTGTTCTTCATGAAATCCTCATGACATCATCACGCTGCTGCTGGACCATTGCTGCCCAGATGGAATTGGGTGACAGAGGAGGAGCCAGCACAATCCTCATGGCAGAGAAAGTTGTTTTGTTTTGTTTTGTTTTGTTTTGTTTTTTATAAAAGATGTTAAACACAGTTGTTCCTAAGGCACTGAATCATTTCAAGTAAGTATAAATACCCTCTAAATTTTACCATCTAGAACAGAGCTCCATCCACCTCACCTTAGTCCTGCCTCTGTTAGTATACTTTCCAGACAATGCACATACTGTATTCCTACAGAGCTCCAATAGTGTCTCTAGGGACCCTGACCCATTCTGGACACTTGCCCAGAAACAATGAGAAGTCATTTCACTTAGAAGTTAAGGTGTAGCTTCTAACTCCCCATATGAATATTTTGAAACTAAACCTTTCAAATACCTCCAGGTACCTCTCACCAGATCTCTGCACAGTCAAGCCTTTCCCCTACTCAGAAAGGCATATACAGAAAATGGATTGTTTCTTTCTTTTGAAAAATAATGATTTTCCACATTTTCTTTTGCATCATGTCTGTTTATGGTTATGGAAGAACAGAGCTAAGGTCACATTCCAGACATATGGATTTCTTTGGAACATTTCTCTCCTTCCAAGTCAGTCTATTTCTGTGTGCCTCCTTTGCTTGGATGTCAATAATGGGAACACTCAGTAGGTCTTCAGCTGATGACTGTGGCTCACCAAGAGTCACTCATCTTTCCATTGCAAAAAAAAAAAAAAAAGGCCTTGGGAGAAATGATAAGGGTAATGGGGCATAGCAAATAGAGGGCTAGCCTTGGAGCCTAAAAGCCCTGGATATTCAAGTCAAGTCTGAGGCATACTAGTTGTATTAAGCCTGAGTAAGTCCATTAACTTCAGTTCCTCCAGTAATGCTGTAATCATCCTCACCATCCCCACCACCACTAGTCTTTTAAAGTTTACGAAGCATTTTATCAAAATTCTCATTGGATACTCACAACAACACGAGGCACCAGGTGCTGTTATTATTCCTGTTTTACAGATAAGGAAATTGAGACCAAGAGGTTACTTGTAAAGGCTCACTCAGCTAGTGAGTTTCAGAAGCAGGTGTGAAATTCAAGTCCTCCTGACTCTGAGGTCAGCACTCTAACCATTAAACCATCTAGCCACTGCTTTCAGACCAGTGATAATAAATAATTGGCATTCACGTAGGGATTTAAAGTTTGCATCATCACATACATAGCAAACTTGCTAGGTGCCTGTTAGCTGCATAGGCAACTAGGTGGCACAGTGGGTAGAGTATGTGGCCTGAAATCAGGAAGACTTATTTTCATGAGTTTAAATCTGGCCTCAGACACTTAGTGACCCTGGGCAAGTCACTTAACCCTGTTTACCTCCATTTCCTCATCAGTAAAATGAACTATAGAAAGAAATGGCAAACCACTCCATTATATTAGCCAAGAAAATCCCAAATGGGGTCACAAAGGGTCAGATACAACTGAAAAACAACTGAATAAATGCATGTTACAGTTTTTGTGATGTCCTACAGGTAAGAAAACAGGCTCCGAAGTTAGTGACTTGTCTGTAACTTTAGTTACATCATTAGTAAATGTCAGAGCCAGAATTGGGGTAAACAAGTGCCTGGATCTTTAATAGTATTAACTTTAACAGTGCTTCTGATTTCCCTGTAGAAACCCAGAAAAAGTAATTTATCTATTTGATGTCTTGAGCTTTCTCATCTGTTAAATACAATCCTAGCCCACCTCCCACGGGCATTGTGATGAATAAGTCATAAAAAGTGGGGACCGCTCCCAGGCCTGAGCCAGACTACCCCTCCCCGCGTCTTAAGACAAGTTTAAATTAGAGATGATGTGCTTCAAAATACTCTCAAATTCCTTCCATCGAGCAGCTTCCTTCTCAAAGTCCATTATTAGATTTACCAGGGGAGCCACAAGCAAATGGGAAAAGCTCCTGGGGCTTCACTTGGGCTAGGGCTCAGGAGAGCTGTCCTGCCCTGAAACGGAGGAGGAGGGAAGGACTCTGTTAGTGTAGGCTGCTTTAACAATGAGGCGCATGTGTCGAGATATGGGAATTTGTGTGCAAATGGCTGATGTTTGCACTCAGATTTGCAAAGTGATTTAAACACATTATCTCATGAGCTCTCACTCATCGGTGCATTGTTTATGTATAAAGTATTCTGGAAAAATGGGCACAGCTTCAGCAGAGACATATAAATGTGTCATTTTGTCTTTTAAAATTACACTCTTAAGAATTACCTACATATTCCATTTAACTCACTCTCTCTCTCTCTCTCTCTCTCTCTCTCTCTCTCTCTCTCTCTCTCTCTCTCTCCCTCTCTCTCTCTCTCTCTCTCTCTCTCTCTCTCTCTCTCTCTCTCTCTCTCTCTCTCTCTCTCTCTCTCTCTCTCTCCCTCCCTCCCTCCCTCCCATCCCCTGACCGATTAGGAGATTTTATATGATGAGAAAACAATTCTCAATTCAGAGCACATTTGGTAAATGACACAAACCTTTATTTTTTAGGCCCATTTTTGTTGCTTTTTTGGAGATACTTCTTTGGATACCAGCTGATTCCAAGGTATTCATCTCATTCATCATTGGATCTCTACCAGGTGCCAAATGCTTTTGTCAATAACACACTGTCCAACTCCAAAGCCTTCAGTCTCTTACCAATGACCACAGATGGGGAAAAACTTAAAGGGATAGGATATTCATTGGCTTTTTTCCCCCAGAAATCTGACTTCATGCCCCCAAGGAAAAAAAAAAGTATATAGGAAAAAAAAAACCTTTTTTCCTCCTATAGAGATGCTGAGGACAAGGTCATCTGCAGGGAATTTGTATGAAGCGAGCCCCTGATAAAGTTACAAGGCACCTAAAAATATTAATAACTGGCAGGGGGTGGGGGACAGGGGCAGAGAGGATTCCTACATGGCCTAAATGATTTGCAAAGTCCCCAGTTGCCCTCATATGGTCACTGGCTCCTGAACAACCAAAAAAAAGCAAAATTGAAAGAATATGTTATTGGTTAGTTTTAGCTGAATTAATCAACTGAGAGAATGAGACAAATTCAGTCAGCCACTTTAAGACCAGATAACCTCATTGTATTCTGCAGCAGACTGTACCCCAATAACAACCAGCAGATCCTACCTCTCCTTCCTCTGAACCCAATGAAGTCTGCTGTCCCCCAAATCTAAGATGCATGGGAATGGAGACATGGCTTTCTATCCCTTCTCTAGCACTTGTGCTGGGTCAGCCCTACTCCAACAATCCCTCCCAAAATATAAATTCCCCCTTGTTGGTTCTTCCCACCTTGGAAAGAAAGAATTATCTTTGAAGAAAGATGCAAATATTGGCACTGCATAGGAAACACTTGACCATGTGCTGGAATAACTCATGTCCAAAATTATTCACATCAGTAAGCATTCATTGCACATCAACGGTAGACCAGGCACTGTGCTAGGTGAGGAGCATTCAAAAATAGAAAACTGTCCGTGTTCTCAAAGGTTTTTACATTAATGCAAAGAGAGAGCTAGTGTATACAATATAAACGTATGTTAAATAATACATAAAAGAAATAAAAGGTTATGGTGGGGGATATCAGTATCTGGAGGGATATGAAGAGGGAGTCCTTGTGAAAGTTGAGGCTTAGCAGAGTTTGGAAGGGAACATGATATTATAAAAGGCAGAAATGAGGACACAGAGCATTCTGGATAAGGGAGATAATGCAAAGGCATGGAAAGAATATCACTTTTGGAGAACAAGAAAGGTATCAGTTTGGTTGGACCACAGGGTGCATGAAGGGAAGGAAGGCCCTTGGACATAAATGAAGGCCTTATATGGCAAAGAGGTAAGCTGATATCTAGTGAGCTTACATTCTACTTGTCAGTCCAGCCCGAGACCTAAGTATTCCAAACGACTGTCTTCTGGCAAGAGTATAGACACTTGTTTCTTTGACAAGAGGACAAGGTTCATTAGCTAGACAGAGACAGACAGATGGACACTGGAGGCAAACACAGAGCAAGCCATACAAAACATGTCAAAGAAATGTCATTTGGAAGGTGGAAGTGAGGGTGGGCAGATCCTGATTAAGACTTTCACATTTAAAAAGCCTCAGCATCCCCTGGTCTTTGGGATTGCCTCCGTCTCAGGGGGCAGAATCACTTCTGGTTCCTCCTGAATATAAATTAACTGATAACACTGGACCCTGGTCTTACCACTGAACTCAGTCCCTCCCCCATGGTGACTTCCTAGTCCTAGGGACCTAAGAGGTAAAAACTCCATCAAACTCCAGCCTGGATGCTTTCCGTAAGTGTGACTTTGGGTGAGTCACTTAAGCTCTGTGATCTTCAGTTTCCTCATCTATGAAATGGGGGTTTCCATTGTTATAGTATATTCCCTCACATAACAGGAATGTTATGCTAACCTGGAATATCTATGAAAAGTATGAGTTATGGCTATTGTTATTTCACCAAAGTGCTGATGCTTTTCTTTCCAGATGAAAACGGATTTCTAGTGGCAAGTGGAGTGAGTACTGTCATGTAATTATTTTAATGACAGAAGTAAAGACAGAGAGGGGAGGAGGAGGAAAAAAGGGAGAGAGGGAGGGAGTAAAGGGAAGAAATAGTGAGAGGATGAGGAAGGAGAGAGGCAGGATGAGAAGAAAACAAGGGAAGGGGACAAGAGAGCAAGTGAAGAAAAGAAGAGAGGGGTAAGAGATAGAAAGAAAAAAGGGGGAAGAAATGAAACAAGACAGAAAAGAAAAGAGAGAGGAAAAGAGAGAAGGGAGTGAGGAAAAAAGAGAGAGGAAAGAAAAGAGAGGGAGAAAGGAAGGAAGAGAAGAAGGAGGGAGGGGCAAAAGAGAGGAGGGGAGGAGAGAGGGAAAAAAGTGAGGAAGGGAGAGATAAAAGAGTAAGAGAATGAAAAGAAAGTGATGGGGGAAGGAGGTAGAGAGAAAAGAGAGAGAAATGGCAAGAAAAAATAAAAAGGAAGAGAGGGGAGGGAGAGAAAAGAGAGGGACACAAGAGATGAGGAGAAAAGAAAAAGGGAAGAAATAAAAAGAGAGAAGAAGAGAAGAGAGAGGAAAGGGAAGAAGAGAGAAGGTAGAAAGGGAGAGAGAGAAAGAGAAAAGGGAGGAATGGAGAAAAGAGGGAGAGAGAGAAGAGAGAGAAGGTGAGAGAAGAAAGAATGGGAGGATGAGGAAAGAGCAAGGGAGAAAAGAGTGAGGGAGAAGAATGCAAGAAAGGAAGAAGAGGTAGGGAGAAAAGAAGGAAAAGACAAAAAAAGAGAAGGAAAAAGAAGAAAAGAGAGGGAGGGGAGAAGAGAGAGAGAAAAGAAAGCAAAGGAAAGGAAGAAAGAGAGAGTTGGGGAGAACAGGGAGGGGGCGAAGAGAAAAGGAAAGAGAGTGAGGGAGGGGTAGAACAAAGAGGGGAGAGAAGAAGTGGGGAGAAAATGAGGAGAAAGAAGACAAAAGAAAGAAGGAAGAAAAGAAAGGGAGAAGAAAGAAGGGGAAAAGAGAAAAGGAAGGAGAGAAGAGGGAGGAAGGAGAGAAGAGAGAGGAAGGAAGAAAAGAGAGAGAGGGAGGAGAGAAGAGAGAGGGAAGGGGAAAGAGGGAGGGGAGGAGAATGGGAGAAAGAATGGGAAGGCTCCTGAGAAAAGTTCATTTGCTAAACAAAGTGAAGCTGCCTGTGATTGAAATCCCCCTAAGTTTCCTTTAGAGGTGCCAGGCCTGGAGCAGACACCCAATTTATTAACCTGTCAACTGACTTATTAGGGTTGACACAAATCGAGCAGAAATATGCCTGACATACTCCAGTGGAGGCTTTTTTTCACACATGCACACAAAGCCGAGCTTCCCTCAAGGTGGCGGCCAGCAAGGAGGCACTGGGGGACCTCTATTCCCTGCATTCTATCAGCAAAATGGAGCTCGTCTCCTCCCCTTTTTAACATGCAAACCCAGCCATGAATTCACCAGGGCTAGAAACAATTCACCAGAACGACGCAGCTGGGAAACGATTATCAAACTCTGGCAAGTCCTTGATTGCAGGAAATAGCACCTACATTTTCCAGAATGTTCCCACCAGACCCTGAATCCTAAACTGGAGCGCCTTCCTCTCCCCTCCACACCTTCCCACCCCCACATGACTCTGCTTTCTGGAATTTCAACTTCCATGCTGAAAAACCCATCCTGGGGGGAGGGAAGAGCTCTCAGAAACAATCGCTGAACTACATGGAGCTGAAATTCTTAGGGGGAGACGATGCCTACTGGTTATCGTGAGCAGTTAGGGAGCTAATTCCCCAATCCCCATCCCAGTCCCAGTTTAGTCATTAACTATGAATACAGGACCAAGGGCTTGCAATCTCAGGGTTCCAAGGATATGGAGAAGCAAATACTGTCAAGTCAGCCACCAAGACACACAGAGGCCCCCCTCAGACAGCCCCGTTTGTTCCCAATCTAAGCTAACAAACACATACTCCTTAGGTACTACCTGCTATGTACCAGATGATATGAAAAAATAATAATATTAAAAAACACACATGATTTCAAGAAGCTTAAAGCCCAAGTATGAGATGCCCCAAGAAACTGCAGCAGGGTCAGGGAACAAGGGCTTACTTCTTCAACCAAGGGAACTTTTTAAAATATAACGATCTTTAGATAAATACAAATTTATTTTTCTTTATACTAGGAAAACCTGTCAATGAATCCTCAGCTACTGGGAGGAATTGACCATGTACTCTGGGTTACTTTCAAAACACGTTATCAGTCTTCCAGTTTTTAAGACAAGAAAGATTCAGTCTTAAGATAAATTGATAATAAAATAAAATTTTAACATTGAAAATTGCAATGCCAACTTGATTTCAGTGTCCTTATTACGTAACTAGAAGCAGCTAGATATCCTTTGGATAGAGCACTGGACCTAGAGTTCAAATCTCAGATACATTCTAGTTATATTATCCTCATCAAGTCATATAACCATTATCTGACTCAGTTTCCTCCTCTGTAAAATGGGGAGATCAACAGCACCTACTTGTCAGGGTTGTTGTGAGAATCAGATTAAATATCTGAAAAGTACTTTGGGAACCCTAAAGTGAAATATAAATATTATTATTGTTACTTTATCATTTGTCCTTTCATCTGTGAAACTGAAGTCAGAGTCTGCTTCTGGGGCAAGGACCAGAAATTGTGTCCACCTCAATGAAACCAAACATTCCCTCCTTTTTATGTGGGTGTAGGTGGGGTGAAGAAGAGAAGTCAGGTTGGAGGAAGGATATCAGTCAGGTAGTTTCCTATTTTCACTAATTATTCTTGCCGACTAGCAGCTAAACTCTGTTGTTTCAAAAGTGATAAAGGATTGAAAGCTCTGTTGCATGCCCTCTCACTTTGGTATCCACAGCCTAGCCTTGCTCCCTTAGCCCTAGTTAGACTGCTGCTTGAAGTACAGTAATTGGTCTTCAAAGCCCATTCCAGTATTGAAAGATTTCTAAAACTTCTCCTAGTGAACTTCATGAAAAGCCAGTCAGTCTAAGTCACTTGCAATCCAGAGGAAATTATTGTAGAAATCCACTGGCGTGTAGACCCAGATGTATTTTTGTGTTTATTTGCCTTATTTTGTTTTGTTTGTTTTTCTTTTTTGGGGGTGGGGAGAGCCGGTTTGGAGGAGGGGAGAAGGCTGGGGTGAAGAGAAGCATGAATCAAGGAAGCCATACCTCAAAATTAAATAAATGATCTTTCAATTAATGTCTGCTTATCTAAACACTAATTAGACCTGACCATGTAAAAGAAGGGGGAGGAGGGAGTTAGACTCATTTTCATTTGTAATGATCTGTGTCAGAAACTGGAAAATAAAAACCAACCAACCATATCTCCAGCGAAAATGTACCATGCTGCAATGGCTGGTGCTTTGCATTATTCGTTCTTTTTCTCCAGGAAAAAAAAATCACATATATATATATATATATATACATATACATACATATTTATAATATTTATATATGATATATTACAAATATGTATATATTCATCCAAAAAACCTCTGGAGGCTGACTGAAAGCAGATATGCCCGTCTGCAAAAACTCCTGCTGCTTTGCTCCATCTAGTGGAATACTGATTTTTACTTAATATGAACACAACGATGCCCGAGCCTTCCAGGGTTTTTTTGGCTCACTTTAAGACACTGCAGATAAGAACCACGATGGTATCACATTTAGGAAAAGCAGAACATTCAATCACTTAATTTCCCAAAAGAACATAGATTTTTAAAAATATTTTTTGTAAGTATAATGCAATAGGCATATAAAAAATAAATTCTTCAACTTTTTAACTGGAAAATTATTGTAAAAACAGAATATGCAGACATTTTGAGCAATATTCACACTTAACATGCTAGATACTTTTTCTACAATTTATTTTAAAAGGCAAGGATCACATTAATTTCCAGACTGATTAGTTATTAATCATGAAAATAATATTTGCAAAATAGCAAAAGTAAGGATGGAACAAAGTAGACTGAGGTTTTCTTTGCTATGCAATGATCAAGAACATTGAAGTTTTTCTTTACTTCTTTCTCCTACCAGCCAGTTGATTGTAATCTCTTGGTTACTGGAATAAAGAACAGGTTTTGTATTAGATGAAATATTTACTGCTTCTTGTTAAATTAATATGCACTTATTAAATCAGTCACTCCAAGTGATGAGTACTCCTCACTAGAGAATCATGCTTGTCAGCCTTTCTTGCTACTTCTATGCTAAATATAGAACGTTAAAACTCCAGTCCTCATGTTTCCTTTTCTTTTTTTTTTGTTTTATTTTCTTGTTGTTGTTTTGTTTTGGTTTGGTTTTGAGTCGGGGTCAAAAACTTTTCTAAGGAATTTAATTTCTTCATCTTATGCTCTATCCCCTCACCTCCAAAACAAACCAGCAAACCAAAACCTGTAGAAACGGGAATTCTCTTATTCAGACACGGGAAGTCCTGTCACCAACATGGCCGGTAGGACATAGAGCTGGACGCTAAGCTGAGGGTCTTGGCAGCAGATTTCAGCCACCACCCATTCACAAAAGAGGCACAGCATCCCAGCTCCTTTGTAAATGTTCCACTTCAGACCATACCTGAACTCTATTCTGGTTTGATTTATAATCTGTTATTTCAAAAGAATAGTAAATGCCTAAGAATTCGTGAATCAACTGCAGATATTTCAGCCTGGTATAAAACTTCTCGAGGGAGAAGAAAGTTTACAAAAAAAGAAACATTTGAAGGAAGTCACAACAGAGGGGCCCAGGCATCTAGAAGAGGGCTCTCCGAAAGATGTTCTTTTAATACAAAGGAAAAGATGTCATGATTTCTCCCTGGTTCATTCTGAAATTGGTAGCCCGATTTCACCAACTGTTTAAGGTTTTATTAGTAATTATTATAGTTTGATTCTAAAACAGAGCCGCCTAACTTCTTTTTTTCTCCTATCCCTGTAACTTTTTATGGAACTTAAGTGTTCAGTAAGCATGTGTGCACAGGAAACGATTGATTGCAAAAATACCTGCCTATAATGTGCTGTGCTTAACGCCAGCAAACAGAAATTTCCGCACAGACAGCAAAGGCTCGGTTCTCCACGGAGAGCGGCTAGGACAAGCCGGCAGCTGTCTCCCTGCCTGCCTGCCTGCCTGCCCCCAGAATCCAGGCTGCGATGCAGCTGGACTTTTTTTCTGACAAACTGCTGTCAGAGAGACGAGCTAGAAAACAAGACAGACCCTTGACAAGATTCAAACGTCCTCTTCTATCCTGAGAGCTGCTGACCTCCATTTCGGAACCTATGACCTTGACCTGACATTGCAACTGATCTCCCCAAGTCCAGTAGGTTTTTCCTCCAGTCCGCCCTCGGCAGCTTTTCCAATGCAGAAATTGTGAAATGGGAAAATTCTGACCCCAGACTCAGTCGGATGGTCACCACTTCTTTCCCTTCAGTCTACCCAGCTCCATGCAGAGGACGGAAGGAACGCCTTTTCCCAAAAAAAGAAGGATCAGCTACATCCTCCTGCCACATTTTCCGTACAGGAACTGGAGGCCTTAAGGAAATGGCCAGCCTCAGTGGCTCCTGGAGAAAATGAAAATGAGTCCCTGGGAGAGGATACGATCCATGGTGTGTTAATCTAACCCTCAGCTGTTAATGATTTGCACTCCCATTTCCCCTGATGCTGCGGGTTCGGCTGCAATATTGTTTTAACGGTTTCTGTCGAGTTTCCCTGATCTTTTCTTGTTGAAAGGGAACTGGGTGGAAGAGAAACCTGAGCAGCAGCAGCAGCCAGGAAGCCCGGTCAGGACTCGTTTGTTTGTATGTCGTTTGTTTTTCAAGATACCTGTTCAGTGAACTTAGGGGTTCGAGACTCTCTGCTTCCCATACCAGAAGACTACAGGAAAAGAGCAGCCGCTTTCCCAGCCTTCGCTTTTTGGGATCTGCTGTACAAACCACCAAGGGTTCGGCTCCGGGAGGGACAGGCAGGGACAAGTTTGGCTCCCAAGGCTATTCTGGAAATCAGCTCTTTATGTTCAAATGCACATACAACGGATTTGCCGGAGAGCTCATCGTGAACCACGGGAATGTTACGATGCTCCCAAAAGCACAGGTCTGACTGTGGAATCCTCAGCTCAAGGAGCTTTAGGGGCTCCCAATTGCCACTAGATAAAATGAGATAATACCTGCAATGCTTCAACTGCTATACTATTTATTATGATTGCTTATGTGAAAAAAAAAATCAATCTTCCTGCCCCTTGAACATTTGACTTCATAAGCTCACTGCAAGCTATCTTTCCAGAATGATTTTATACAAACACGTGTGTGTGTTCCTATACACACAACACTTTGCAAACCTTAAAGTGTTATTTAAATGCTAGATATTGCTATTATTACAAACATTTTTTCTTGTTTCAGATCCATAATTTTATCTACAACTCCTCTGTAATTTATAATATTAGGGGTCACCAAAAAGTTATAGATATTGTTTCTGATCATATAGACATGCATATAGTATATATGTAGTCTATATGTATACATGTATACATATATGTATACACACACACACTCACTTCCATTGTTGTAACCCTAGAAGAACCAATACATGGCCTGGTATTTAGAGACTGTTTCATCAATGCCCACTTATTGGTTGGTTCACAGTCAGCTGTGGGTGGTACATGTCAGGCATTATTGCCTCCAGTTGCCTAAGATTCTGGGGCTACTCTTGTCCTTTCTGTAGAAAGAGATGTTTGGTCTTTAAAATTCCAGAGATGGGGGCAGCCAGGTGGTGCAGTGGATAGAGCACCAGCCCTGGATTCAGGAGGACCTGAGGCACCAGCCTCAGACACATAACACTTACTAGAGCTGTGTGACCCTGGGCAAGTCACTTAACCCTGTTGCCTAGCCAAAAAGAAATTATAACAAAATTAGAATAAAATAAAATTCCAGAGATGTCATGCAGCTTCATGCTAAATATCTTGGCATTAACCCAACCCTAACCTTTGGCACCCTAATTAGCTATGTATTATTCACTCATCATTCATCAAACATTTATTAAGCCATCTACTATAAGCCCAGCTCTGTACTAAGGACATAAAGAAAGAAACAAATTGGTCGCTGACCTCAGAGCTCACATTTGCCTGAAGGTAAAATAACTTCTTACAGGAGAATTAATATAAAACATATACAAAATTGCCCTCAACAAGTAATTCTTAAGCATTAACTTAATATTGAAAAGTACGATGGATGCAATGGAATGTTCCAAAGTTAAGGCAGACTCCAGGCTCCTTGTGTGCTGTCCTTGATCCTGGAGACACAGACCACCAATGGGATCAGGGGCCACCAAGATGATAAACCTTTTCTCTGTTCCAAGTACTACGGATAAAATGAAATAAAATGAAATACTGAAATAAATGAAATACAATGAAATAAAATGAAAAAAATTTCTCTAAGGCCCTCTTCTCTACAGACATCTATACAGATAAAGAGACAGTTAGCTATGTGGTACAGTAGATAGAATTAGGCACTTGGAGTCAGGAAGTCTTGAGTTCAAATCCTGCCTCAAACACTTACTAGCTGTGTGAGAGATTCATTTAATTTCTCTCAGGTTCAGCTTCCTCATCTGTAAAATGGAGATAATCTCACCTACTTCTCAGGGTTGTTGTGAGGATCAAATGAGTTAACATATGTACAACACTTTGCGCACTTTCAGGTGTTATGTAAATGTCAGATATTGCTATCATTACAAACATTGTTTTCTTGTTTCAGATCTGTAATTTTATCCACAGCTCCTCTGTAACTTATAATATTAGGGGTCCCTGAAAAGTTCTACGTATTGTCTGTGATCATGCCACTAGTATTTGTCAGAGGCAAAACTCAAGGTCAGGTCTTTTGGATTTTGCAATCAGACCTCTATCTATTATGAAATGTTGCCCTATCTACAGATAAGTAAATACAACATCATTGGAGATGGAAAGAGAGTGTTAACAGGAAAGACTTCCAAGAGTAGGCTCTTGAGGAAACTAGGTGGTTCAGCGGGTATCATTCTAGACTTGGAGTAAGGAAGACCTTATTTCAAACCCTGCCTTACATACTGTATTCAGCAAATCAGCCAACCTTTCAGCCTTAGTTTTCTTATCAATAAAATGGGGATAATAACTGTACATAACTTATAGACTTGTTGTGAGAAACAAATGGGATCATATTTATAAAGTGACTTACAAAAGTTTTAAGTGCTCTATAAATACTAGCTACTGTTACTGAAGGAAGCTGGGGCTTCTTAGAGACTAAGGAAAGGAGGGAGTAAATTCCAGGAATAGAGGAGAGCTTGTGAAAAGAATGTAGAATGAAAGATGTTGGGGGGGGGGGAGAAGAAAGCCAGCTTGACTAGAAGGCAGAGTACCTGAAGAGTGACATGAAATAGGTGTAAATCATCAAAGGCTTCAAAAGAAAGAAATGCCAGAACAGTGTCCCTCCCTACAAAAGAAATATAGACAAACTTCATTCCTTGTGATTACACAATGAGTAAAAAGAAAAAAAATTGTGTTGTGTGGCATGACAATGAAAAAAGATATTATTGTTTAGTAAGAGATAGAGGCATGCAGAATTCTAAGAAATGTGAGACTAGTATAAATGGATGCTGATTGAAACAAGCAGAACCCAAAGAATAATTTATAGAATGGCTATAAAAAGTAAAAGAAATTATCACATGACGCCAAACTTTGAGTGAATGAACAGTAACACTTCTAGAAAGCAAGTAATGAAACAGACCTCCTCTAAATAGAATGGAAGAGGACCACTGGGGCAGAATGGTACAAACATTATGAGATTTTTGGTCAGCCTGTACAGCTTATTAGCTTAACTATTTCTCTTTGACACAAGGGAAGGTTCACTTCAAGGATAAGGATGGGCAGTGTTTTCAGAAAGTACTATAATATTAAAAAGTATCAGCAAAATACATGAATTTTTTAAAAATCATTGCTATTAACCCTGATTTTTAATTTCAGTCACAAAGAACAGAGAACGTAATCCACAACTATAACTCTAGAATCTTTCTCCATTGGATATTATCTTCATCATCCATCCAGTTCTTAATTTTGATGAAATGACTTCATTGAGCTGAGTGAATACACTTAACTTCCTCAGAATAATGAAGTGAAACTGGCCACCAAATGATTTTAATAACTCAATTGATACCCCTCATGAGGATTTCTGAGGTACTTGGTGAATGCTTCTGTTTGGGAGAGATATGAGGGAGAACAGACGCCAGAGCGTGAGGGAGTCAGATTCTGAGCCAGCTGAAAGCAAACATGTCCATTACTGAGGGATTGAATCACCTGGGTTCTGAATGCCAGGGGCAAGCATTTGGACATGAGTTAGAGAAGAAAGTATTTTTTCATTTTATTTTATTTTTTAAAAAGATTTCTTTTCTCAACAACACCTACTAATTGCTGACATTTATAGACTCTGGGTTTTCTGGCTTGCAAAATGCTTTATAGATGTCATCTCACCTGTTCCTCAGAATGACTCAGGAAGTCAGTAGCAAAAGAATTGTGTTCTCCATTTAACAGGCAAGAAAACTGAGGCTTTCAACCATTTGTATAGCCACTCAATCCACAGAACAGTAAGTGGCAGAGTTCTCAAAATCAAGCCTCCTGAGTCCAAATCCAAGGCTTTGGCCACTTTGGCCAACTTGGCCACACATCCTTTTTGATTTAGAGTAGTTTGAGATTTTACTTTTTTCTACAACCCTCAAATTTCTATTTCATAAAAGGCAAAAAAAAAAAAAGGAATCCACCCTTCTTTTGTGGGTGGATCACAAAAACATTCCAAAGCCCTGAGAAATGCAAAAAGACAAGCCCTCAGAGCACAGTGAGAAACACTGGGTGGGAAGCCTGAGACACAAAACACAAGCCCCTCAGCAACACCTCTTCACCCGTGTTTTCTGCTGTGTGGACTCTGATACCCAAGGGAGCCCTCTCATTCTGCACATCCTCGTTTTATACACACACACACACACACACACACACACACACACACACACACACACACACAGAACTGTAACAAGGGTGTGGCTGCAGCGCTCTGTCCCAGGAGACACTGACATCACCTGCAGTCCTTAAATAGGAAGGAAACACAGCTTAACACTTAGTTGGTGAGAATAATTAGTTAAATTAGGAAGCTACCAAGAGGCCAGTGAACTCCATCCTTTACAATGGACAAAAATCTGTTTGTATTTATGATGATGTTGGAAAGAAGTGTGCTAATTGAAACAAATTTCCCTTTATTGAAGTACAAAGGACTGACTGACGAGCATCCACTTGTGGCCTGCTGTCCAGTGCCACCAAAGAAGTTTCAATGGTTATTGCCTCTAGGAGAAAATAGTTTGCTTTTGAAGACCTTCAATATCCTTTCAAACCTTTCGTTCTAGTCTGATTTCACATTTCTTCTGCTAATATTTCTGACCTCAGACACTTACTGAGTGACCCTGGGCAAGTCACTCAACCCTGCTTATCTCAGTTCCTCATCTGCAAAATGAGCTGCCGAAGGAAATGGCAAACCACCCCAGAAGCTTTGCCAAGAAAATTTCAAATGGAGTCCTGGAGACTCAGACACAACTGCACAACAACAGTACACCTGACATTCCACCCCAAGTGGTCCGTTTGCCGTTCCCATACATTGTTTTCCATTGCCTACAATTGTACAGACTGCCCCCCCAAGCTTCGAACATCCCTTCCTCCCCTCCACTGTGTGCAGGACCAGAGTCTCATTTCAGGGCTCAGCTCACACACAGCATTCTCCAGAAGCCTCTTATTATCACCCAATCTTTCCCCACACCCCAGCAGTACCCTTTCACATTTACAGCATTCTTTTTTGTATCTACTTTTCTGTGAATGTCTTGTTTCCTCCAACATATGGAAGTTCTTTGAAGTCAGGGATTTGTTTTTACCTTTAGCACACCCCTCCCCACTGCAATGCCTAGCATAGGGCTTTGCATATAATAAATGTTTAATAAATTATTGTAATTGAACAATATTTTCCAAAAGCAAGAGTATCTAGCTACCCTAGTGATCTCACTCCTAGGCATATATCCCAAAGAGGACATGCACGTACACACACGTGCACACACACATCATACCATATAAATCAGAATATTCACAGAAGTATTTTGTAGAGTAGGGGAAAAATAAAACAAATAGCAGCCTATTTTGGTCCTATTGATTGAGGGGAGTAGCTCAACCAGGCACACGATTTGAATGTGATATGATATAACACAATGCAATAACATGTAATAAATATAACATAATATTATATGACATATCATATAATATGACATGACATGATACAACACAACACAATGTAGCATAGCCTAACGCAATATGATACAATGTAATGTAACATAATTCGCAGTAAAAACAACAAATAAGAAGAATTCAGAAAAACTTTGTAAGCTTTGTATAAAAGGAGAGGATTTAGATTAGGTGTCTTCTGAGGTCTCTTCCAAATCTATATTTAAGAACCCAATGTACTCAGCGAGAACAAAGTAAGAAGAACCAGGGGGTACAAAACTGAAATGAAAATGCAACTGAAATGAAGACAAAGCAATTAATTCTAATTCCCAACCTTGGCCCCACAGAGCAGATAATAGGAAAGACAAACAAATCTCCACCTTCAGGCTTCAAATGGGGGACTATGGACCCAGAATGCTACATGTTGTCTCAGATGTAGTCAACTGCTTGGTTAGCTTTGCCCCTTCCTTCCTTCCTTCCTTCCTTCCTTCCTTCCTCTTTCTTTCTTTCTCTTTCTTTCTTTCTTTCTTTCCTTCTTCCCTTCTTCCCTTCTCTCTCTCTCTCTCTCTCTCTCTCTCTCTCTCTCTCTCTCTCTCTCTCTCTCTCTCTCTCTCTCTCTCTCTCTCTCTCTCCTCTCTCTCTCTCTCTCTTTCTTTTGCCTGTATTCCAATGGAAGGTTCCATGTGTGGGAGCAGTGATTAGGGGAAGGAAGGGGAAAATATAACCAGACTGAGTTTCTGAACACCTCAGGTGACCTGTCTAACTGAATTCACCACAGACAGATGGATTTTCTGGAGTAGGACATAGAAGACTTTTCCACATAATAGCTGTAACACAGACACTGTCTACATATGATAAACCACTTTCTTTTTTTCTGTTTTGGGCGTATTTAGGTGCCTTCATTCCCTATAACCCAAGGGTCTCACTCACATTGGAAGCCGCGACAGGATGCCTGCCGAGATGGAGGTTAAAGCATCATCCACTCGTACTGCTAGCTTCCCTTTGAGAATCCAGCCAAGGACCAACTCAAGCAGCATCAAGGAAATGAAAAATGGTGTCGCCTGCAAAGGAAATTCCCAGAAGGCACATTTATGCACAGCAAACAATGCTCATGAAATTGAGCTTCCCAATTATTCATCTCATCAAGATAATCTTCTTCTACTCATTGGAGAAAAGGAGGCCATGGGTTATGGGGTAGGGATCTGCCCAAATTGTCCTGTTAAGTTTAATGGAAAAATAGATCCACATGGGGGAAAAAAAAGGCAAGAAGTCCCTTTGTTCGAAGAGAAGATGGTACTTATCATTCCTTGAGTGAAGGGCATTTCTGGTTAGGATATCCTCTCTGCCAATATAGAAAAATATCTGTTCTTGCAACTTCTAGCCTTGTTGGGTTTCCTGAGCTAGTGAGAGATTGGGAGGCTGGCCTAGTGTCACACATATAGGAGATGTCAGAGGTGAGATTTGAACTCAGGTCTTCCAGACTCCAAGGCTGGCTCTACTACATCATGCTGCCAGTCAAGGTTTTATTAGGGTTATAAAACAGAAGATTTCTGGTTGGGCCTAAGTGGACAAGCATATCAAGGTATTAGAGAACATATTATTTAGGAGTGGTTGGACACTAGTGGATTAGGGAGAGGGTGGTGTCCCTGCTGAGTTAAAGGTGAGTCCAGATGGCCTGTGGAGTCCCTATTCTAAGACATTGTGACCTCAAGGATGCCAACCAAGCCCAAAGAAGGAGGCTCCGCTGGCAGATTTTGACCCTGGGCAAGTCTCGTCATTATTGGGTGGAGTAACTTCCATCATTAACTTTTAGAATTAAATGACAAATGCATTTTAGCAGCTTTTCCAGCAAGTCATATTTAAAGAAACGTCTTTATTGAAGTAGCCTTTCCTTGGCCAGGGTTCATTCCATCAAGTTCCATCTTAGCGGTGGTTAACAGTCAAGGGAGAGAGACCTGGAACTTGAATAAGAAGACATGATGTGACATCTTCCACAGCTATTTCCTACTTGAGGGGGTCATCTTGCCTCTTAGACCCTTGGTTTCCCCATTTTTGAAATAGTAGGAGTAGGAAGAGATAACATTTGTGCTACCTATCTCATAGGGACTTGTGAGAAAAGCAATTTGGAGACAAAATAGAATGTGAATGTGAGGTATTTTCTTGGAACTAAGAGAAAGTGTTTCTGGAGAATGATCATCAACAGATCTAGGCTTTTGTTTGAATAAAAAATTCAATTTTTCCTTTCTCACATTAGAAAGAAACTAGGCAGCAGGGAATCCAGAAAGAGGTTTTAAGCTCAGGCTCCATTTTCCAAAGCATCCAAACACTTGGAAGCAGGACAGCTGCTCTGAACTTTTCCAAACCCGCCTCTGAAGAACATTCTCCCTCCCATCATGTTTTTGTCTATTTCTGGCCTGAGCTAGTAAATGCCACAAGAACAGCTCAGTGAGGGTGTGGGGCTTTGATATGTTAGGTTCTACTTCTGGTTGTTTCCACTTCTATTCTTTGCCAGAGCCTGGGATTGAACGGTGGTTCTGCATAGTGAGGAAGTTCAGAGAAATCTTGTTCTGAGGTCAGCCTAGGAGAGAACAACCTACATTCAACTGGTGGACATGCTCATAGTACAGGCATCCAGCTTCCACTGGAAAAGAGGGTAGAGCATCTCTCCAGACCATTAAATATCCATTGATCTCTCCCATAGACTGAAAGCCAAGTGCCCTGGATTTGGGGTCCTTTTGCACACTCCTCACAGTGGCAAAGCATGAAAGCTAGCAGGGATTATGATGTTTCTTAAACTTTATCATATCTGGGAGTACCAACAAAAAGAATTAAAACATAATAGAGGAACCTGGGATTCTACAGGCTGGAGTCATCACAGATCTGCCAAATATTTCTCAGAAAAAGGAGGTAATGAGGAGGCAGCTAGGTGGAGCAGTGAATAGAGCACCAACCCTGGAGTCAGGAGGACCTGAGTTCAAATCTGGCCTCAGACACATAACACTTACTAGTTGTGTGACCCTGGGCAAGTCACTTAACCCGCATTGCCCAACAAAAAAAAAAAAAGGAGGTAATGAGGATTATAATTGATATGGCCTTCAAAAATTTCCAATGCAGACTTTGAATTCTCATATTTGAGCCTTCTATGAAATAATTTAGGTATTATCACCTCCACCACCACTCTTTTATAGATGAAGTTTCTGAAGCTCATGCTTATCCATGGCCATATGGCTAATAATCACCACAGGCAGGATTTGAAGCCTGATATTTCCCAAGTCCAAGATCCTTACTCTCAAACAGGTTTTCCTAGGCAGGGGGCACCCATAGCAATAGAGTACTGGGCCTGGAGTCAGAGACTCCAGAATTCAAACAGATCAGAAACACCTGAATTCAAATCCTGCCTTTAGATATTTACCAGTTTTATCATCCCAGGTATTCCATTTAATCTTGGTTCACCTCATTTTCCTCATCTGTAAAATGGGAGGAAATAATAGCACCAGCCTCCCAGGGTAGTTGTGAGGATCAAATGGGACAATAATTGTAAAGTGCTTAGCAAACCTCAAAGTGATGGATGCCTGTGGTTGTTATTGTTGTTGTTGTTCCTGTTCCACAACATCCCACCCCCCATTCCTGTGTCTTTGCACTAGCTGGCCCCCAGGGCTGGAAGGAATATTGTTGCTCCTCATCCCTGCCTTCTCCCTGAAGTTTTCTTGGGCTGCCCCATCACCAACGGGCACCTCCCTCTACAATCACCTCATCCCTATTTGCTTTCCATCCAGAGAGGAGCATTTTGTGTCCCCTGATAGAATGTAAGTTCTTGAAGGGCAGGCCATGTTTTACTACTGTTCTCAAGCTTTTAGGGCCTAAAAAAGTGCCTGGTGCATAGAGGATACTTAATAAAGTGGTTTTGGTTTGGTTAATCTTTAATGACCATAAAAGTCAACATTCCCAGAGCACTTTAAAGTTTGCTTTCCAGACTTTATATTCTCTCCTTTGATCTCACAATACCCCTGCGAAGTAGGAACAAGCCATTTTGAAAAGGGGGAAACTGAGGTCAGAGAAACAAAGGCACTTGCCCATGTTCATATGGCCAGTAAGTGCTGGAGACAAAATTCAAAGATGGTTCTCTACTTACTCTATTTTGAGCTCCTTCCAAAGTGTCTGGGTTCAAGTGCTGTGTGATACTGGTAAGACACTGAAATTCTCAGTATACCCGACAACTCCATTTATAGAGAAAGGGCTAATCTGCCTTGGTAAAAGGGACTTCCTCACCCAGGAGTCCCCATTGCCAATGGAACTACAAGTCTACTACCTATTACTACAGTGGCCATATGATAATGTTACTGTTATTTAACAATAAAAATATCTCATTAGTGCTGGCAGGAGGTGAATTGTTACATATTCAATCTCTCTCTCTCTCTCTCTCTCTCTCTCTCTCTCTCTCTCTCTCTCTCCCTCTCTCTCTCTCTCTCCTCTCTCTTCTCTCCTTCTCTCTCTCTCTCTCTCTCTCTCTCTCTCTCTCTCTCTCTCTTTCCCTTCTTCCCTCCCTCCCTCCCTCTGTCTCTGTAAATCTGTGCTTCTCTGTGTCTCTCTGCACTAGGAGGAAAACCTGTTCTGTGCTCCCAGATCTTACCTGTTTCACATAGTCAGGCACCTCATCCAAGTTTGGGAAGGAGGTCTCATTGGGCTTCATGGCGTAGAACATCATTCGGATGCCCTGGGAGAAAGAAACATCCTTGGGGGACTCTGAGGTTGCCATCTGAGCCCAGGTCAGATCACGAGGTAGAGAGAGGATGATGGCCAATGACCCAAAGATTATTGCTGGTGAGCCCTGCAGGGGAGGCCAGGGCAGGTAAGAAGACAGTGCAGGTCCCACGAGTGATAAAGGAAACCAAATGCTGAGCTGGGTCTTTCTACAGAAGACCAAGGAAGTTCCCCTGCAGCTGTAGCTGCTGATGTCTGCAAAGAGAAACAGAAATTCTGTACTTCCCTAGAGAAGCTGGCCAGGGGGTGGAGAAAGATAACACAGGTGAAAGTTCACTGGGAAAATGTGGGTGGAAGCAAATGTGTCTGATCCCTTGAGGATTGGTCATCTCTCCCTGTCATTCACCAGTTCTACTCAGGACTTTGTCCTCCAGCCTCCCCCCAAGGACACATATCCTAAAGGGACAGAGAAGCTGTTGTGTGGGGGGTGGGGGAAGGGGACCTTTTTTCTCTCTCACTGGCTCATTCTTTTTTCCATTAAAAGGTCAGTATTTGCTAAGCTGAGAGTGTAGGGCTGCCAATATATTACTGGCCCCAAAGTCTGGGACTTCTGGATTTCATCAAAGCCATTTGGGTGACTGGCTGCTGCTGCCCACAGGAGTCCTGGCTCCCTGGAATCTTGGCCATGCACACTGTCTCGGTTCCTCCTGGCCCCGGGCCTGGAGCTTCTTGGTTGTTAAGGCTGCCAAGACTTTGCTCAGAGCCATGTGGCTGCTTTCCTTCTCCAGGAGGCCCAGGCTGAGCTTCTGAGGTGGTCTCTGGGCCACCTTGCATGGCCCTAACTCTGCCCCAAGAGAGAAGAAGCAAACTTGTCCATGGAGGTGAATTCCAGTGCTCCTGACCTGAGCCAGAGGCAGGAATTCTGGAAATTCCAACAATGGCAGTAAAAATGATCTGTAAAATGCTGGCAGTGGCTCCCAGCATCCTTTTCAGAACTTATCATGGCATCAAATATTGGAAAAAGAGGGCCACACGTGATCAGACTATCACAGCTTTCAGCTCATCTCTGAACATCGTCAGGTGCTACTACACTAACTCAGAGCTCCTTGTCTGAGCCACTCTGAGGGGAGGCCATGCAGTTGCAGTATCCGAGCTACATAATCAGGGACATTATGTCTTGTAGGAAGTCAGGAAAGAGAATGAAAAGACAGCTAAGTAGAATGATGGCTCTTGAGTTCTCCTTATAGGACCCAAGAAAGGAGTTGACTTTACATCATAGAATATGAGGCCACCTCACATTGCAGAAAGAGAGAAAGAGAGAAAGAAAGAAAGAAAGAAAGAAAGAAAGAAAGAAAGAAAGAAAGAAAGAAAGAAAGAAAGAAAGAAAGAAAGAAAGAAAGAAAGAAAGAAAGAAGGAAGGAAGGAAGGAAGGAAGGAAGGAAGGAAGGAAGGAAGGAAGGAAGGAAGGAAGGAAGGAAGGAGGAAAGAAAGAAAGAAAGAAAGAAAGAAAGAAAGAAAGAAAGAAAGAAAGAAAGAAAGAAAGAAAGAAAGAAAGAAAGAGAAAGAAAGAGAAAGAAAGAGAAAGAAAGAGAAAGAAAGAAAGAAAGAGAAAGAAAGAGAAAGAAAGAGAAAGAAAGAAAGAAAGAAAGAAAGAGAAAGAAAGAGAAAGAAAGAAAGAAAGAAAGAAAGAAAGAAAGAAAGAAAGAAAGAAAGAAAGAAAGGGATTCCTTGATACATGAAAATAATGGAAATTTATTATAATGGATACAGAGAGGCATGGGAATACCTACTAGAAGTGGTGCAAATTGAAGTTAGCAGAACCAGAGAAACAATATGCACAATGACTATGATGATAAAAATAACAACAAAAATCACACTTGAATGGTTACAAATTCATAATGGCCAAGCTTGATCCCTTGAGAAGACATATAAGACAATATTGTCCCTGCTTCTGAGCACAGACAGAGGTCCAGATGGATGAAACCCTACATATAAAAACAAAACATTAAATATTTTGGTTAGTTTTCTTGAACTATTTCCTTACCTTAAAAAAATATAATAAGACACAGCTCTCTGTGAGGAAAAGGGGCATAAAGTGAGAAATTTAGGTGATATAAACTATGTTAATAAAATTTTACACCAAAAAATGAAATAAAATTTTACTTTTAAAAAGACAACATTGAAAATCATTGCCATTCATTCCCCCTCAAATCTTTCAGAGAGAATGGAAAGATAGAGAATTTCTTTGAAGAACTAATGAAGATCCTCCAAATGAAAACAACATTGACTTATACTCTTAATTGATTTTAAGGGGAGGCTAGGTGTCACAGCATATAGAGAACCAAGCCTGAAGTCAAGAACTGAATTCATATCTGGCCTCAGATACTTCCAGCTGGGTGACTCTGGTCAAGTCACTTAGCCCTGTTTGCCTCAGTTTCTCATCTATAAAATGAGCTGGAGAAGTAAATGGCGAACTATTCTAATATTGTTACCAAGAAAACCCCAAGTGGGGTCACAAAGAGTCAGATACAACTGAAATGACTGAATAACAACAATGACTCATTTCAAATGGAAATAGGTAAATATGGCAAGATACATTTAAAAATATTATCCCAGGAGAGAACAAAGACTTGCAGAAAATATCAAAGCTGCTTACTTATATATCTTTATATTTTTTCTTTTATAAGTAGCTAAAAGATGTTGGATGTGGGAAGCACCAGCTATTACCACAAATCTGATTGTATTTTAACAGGCAATTGATTCTCCCTACGGGATGCAGGGGTAATTTTTTTATTTGGTTACACGGTATAGTAAGAACCTAGACTCACTAAAGATCAAAATTAATACAAGGCTCAACAAATAAGAAAGCAGGAAGGGGTGAAGCATGACATATGATGAATACAGTATTGTATTCTACCGTGAGGGGAAAAAAAGGAGTGTAATAAAATGAATGGAGGAAGACATTGACAGCTATAGTAATAATGTATTATAGAAGACTACTCAATGTAAATCAATTGTCCAAATGAAGTGACCAAAAGGATCTACAAATGGCCTTAGTTAACTCCTACTTACTTGCCTAAAGAAAAAAAATAGAGAGGGAGCAGGCAAGGTCAGAAGGATGGTCAACAATTATGAAAAGAATTGCCTTGTGAAACAATGAAAAATGCAGAGAGAAGAAAAACTCATTTAAAGAAAGTTTGGTGAGAGAGCCGGGAGTGATAACAAGAACACTTAAAGATAAAAAGGAGTGGACAGAAACTGGATGAAAGATGGCTCTATAAGAGGCTCTTTTGACTATCAAGTACAATGGAGCCATGACATTTTGATTCAAACAGCACAGTATTGAATGAGACGAGAGAGGAGGCAAAAATGATAATCAAAGATAGGCATGGGAAAAGGAAATGGACTAAAACAAGTGTCCAGAGAGGAGGACTGTGCCAAATATGGCAATAGTGGATGAACACAGAGGAATTCATTCTCAAATTAGCCGAAGGAGGAGGAGATAGCAAATGTTTTGCTGACATTATCATCCCAAAGGAGGCATAAAGAGAGAATATTGAGATTTGGAAAGCATTATTCCACAGGTGAATATACCTTTACCTTTACACAACTAATTGAAAGATGCAATACTAATTCTGCCAAAAAGCAAACAGATTCATTTTGCTTTATACTGAGTGTTCGTGACTCTTTGATTCAAAACCAATGAACTATACTTTATGGACATTAAATTGGACATGTATTTATGGACTTGTATTTTATGGACATTAAAAATTTTTTTAAAAATTAAAAATAAAAAGTCCAACACTTTCTAGAGATGGTTTTTTTCTTATTTATTTGTTTTCAGTCAGAAACAATATATCAACTGTCTATTATTAGAAGACTCCAGAGAAGAGGACCTTAGAGGTTATAAGAGCCCACTGATCTAAATGATTGTTAATTATTTTTAAAAGTATTTGTTCAGCAAAGAAAAATTCTGCCTTGAAGACTCTCCTTCAACAAAGTGTCTTCTGTACCCATGTCATAATTACGCAAGATTTCTTGAAATATCTGACAGAGATTAATTTGTATGATAATCTGCTAATTATAAAAAATAGACAAGGCCTAAAACCCTAAGACTCACCCAAGATGAGTTTACTGATGTCATGGAAGAGACCTAGCTCACAGACCAAGGTGAAGAGGAATTTCACATTGAAGCTGAGCTCTTCAGATGGTGAAGGTGGTTGCATATAAGAAGTTGGTTGCATTAAGCCCCGGTACATTGTAGGACCTCCAAAATAAGATGCATAATCAACTCTGAAGAGTTCAACCTAATTATACATATGGTCAAAAAAGAGGAAGGGTGAAAAATGCTTATTGAATAACTGAAATTGACTCATCTGTCAGTTTATCTTGGACAGTCTTTGCAATGGAAAGTCATTTGGGCCCAGAATTGTACAAAAAGAATTGGTTTTTTTTTTTTGAAAAATTAGAACTTTTAGTGACCAAGTTGCTCAAATCTGAAACAAATGCCCCATCCTTTTAATACCAAAATTCTGGCAATGACATGTGACAGTCATGTAATACTATAATCCCAGAAGAATTAGAAGTAACAGTTATTCAAAAGGCAATGGAAATGCTTAGGGCCTGCATGAGCAGTGATAAAAAGTTGCCATTTCTTTGTAAACTTTCAGCTATAAAGGAAATCATCAAAGAAACCCATGAGGGAAAAGGAGTGATTGGGTCTATGGCCAAAGAGAGAGAAAACCAGTGGATGACCTATCTGCTCCATAGCTGTTCTCAGTATGGCAAGAGAAATTGAGGAGGGAGCTGAGCATACTGTGTATCTTGAGATGGCTACTTCTGGGAGGACACAGGCAAAAGTTCAAAGGCCTGGGCAGCCATGGAAGAACTTTGACCCCTGTAATTGGAGAAAAGACACACATGGATGAGATTATAGAGGCACATGACTGAATATTATTGGGTAACCAACAAGCATTTATTGAGTATTTATGCTGTGTTAAGCACTAGGGATACAAAAAAAGGCAAAGACATACTCCTTGCCAAGGAGTTCACATC